AAGGTTGGTGCACTGACCTTAATGCTCCTCAAGTATTGCGCGTCCGGATCAGGTACAGGTTGATGTGGAGGTCGATGAGCGAAGTGTCCATAACCTTGGCCTTGTAGTGGTGGGGCGATGGGTCCAAAGCCTTGATCGTTCGGCGGAGGAGTTGCAACACGTGCTTCTTCTAGCCTCGCTAATCTCTCGTTATTGTCATTCAGGATCTCGCGGGTAGCTTGGCTCTCCTGGGCTAAATTACCTATTTGTCGTGCTAACTCAGCTATTTGCTTAAGGAGTTCGGGATCTGTGTTGCCTGACATGCTGGACTCACTAGTTGACTCACTTGACTCTCCCAATCGATAGTGTAAACCTGTACGAGTGGGCATGCACTACAGCTAAAGATGAAATGTGTGTACTAACAGCTAATGAGATGATTTTTTTATTTTTATTTTTTTTATTTTTTTTTATAAAGACTCAACTAAAACAATTTTCCTAACCTGAAAATTAAAATAAAATTCCTAACCTAGAACCATGCTCTGATACCAAAAATGATGTGAAACAATGTGAATGCAGGTGCAAGATCAGCGACAACAATGTTTCACCAAATCAGCGATCAATCTAGGCAGGAAGCTCAAGAATAAAATGAAGCGAACGATGGTTTTTAAGCAAAAGTTACAATGTACTAAGTTTGAACCTTTGTAAAATTATTCTGATAATTAATGTAATGATTTGTTCTCTTAATACAGTTCAATTTGTAATATTTAGATAAGCAGAAATACTCAACAACAGAATCACTCGCTCACTATTCAAACTGATACAGCATAATCGCAATTGATACTAAGATTGAGAATAACATGCACACAATAGCAATTCCGAAAATACTTGGGCGTAAGAAAATTAAACCTTCGTCGGGTTGGACTGGTTCGATGGGAGGATCCTCTGGAGGCGCGGTAAAAACTCCAAACGTGAGTGGCGGGAGTTCTCCTCCAAGAGCTGCGTAATTGGGATGAAGCGGCGTATCTGGATGAAAACGTCGGTGCCAAGAACTAATGCCCAAACTGCTCTCCACACTGTCTACAAGCTGATGAGTCACGCGTTCGACGTATTCAGGAACACTCTCGGACGTCCGATAATCGAACCACAAGGAAATCTGCAACTCAACAATACCAGTCACTGGGTCAAGCACGAGGTCGTAGTCTTCAGCGTCAGGATCAGCCATACACTAACGAACTGCGGAGTCAAAAGTCAGAACACTGCAGATTGGGTCTAATATCAAGGTCTGGTCCAACTGAACCAATCAAGTCTAACCAAAATAAACCAGACCCAAGTATGAAATAAGATGGTCTGAACCAAATAAACCAATCCCCAATGTGAAGACCGGATCTATTCAAAGACCTAGGCCCAAAACCCGTCGGTTCGGCTCCGATCTGAGGAGAAACGGTCGCGGGCGGCTCAAGGGCGAGGAAAGCGGCGATCTTCGTCGGGTAGGGCGACGACGGGGCGAATCTGGGACGCGGTAGAAGGCGGCACTGTCGGAAGAGGAGTTATGGGAGCTGAAGGATGTCAGGCATATTCCCGACCTGAGAAAGAATTTAATATCTGTAGGCCAGTTGGCTGGCGAAGGATATACCACGACCTTCCACGGAGATGATTGGAAGATCTCAAAGGGCGCAATGACGATTGCCCGAGGCAGGAAGACTGGTACCTTATATATGACAGCAGGTGTACGTTGTTCGATCTCAGTTGCAGCAGGCAATGAGACCTCAAAGCTGTGGCACCAGAGACTCGGTCATATGAGTGAAAAGGGGATGAAAATCATGCAGGAATACGTCGTCTCCTACGCTGATAAACACGGCGAAAGTCCCGTGCACGTGCCTGGATGTCCTCATCATTAAGCCTATACTCAACTAATCACTCGCCACAACTCAAATTATACTTATTATGAAATACTAAAAGCTCAATAGGTTGTGTGTGCAATAAATGAGTAAAATGAAATGTAAACTCAATTTATAATCTAGCTTAAGAAAATGATAATCAACAATAAACATATGTAAAGCTAGAGATTGAGTTTAGCAAAACTTCTCTGCAAACAAGAGTGATGGAGATGTGAGATTGAAGATCAAAAAGAAAAGAAATAGTCTCCTCCTCTTGTGAAACTGTTTTCACATAAACACACTTAAAACATACTTAAAAACACATTTAAACACTTGCAAACTCGTGTTAAACTTTTCTCTTAGTTAGTTCAAAATGTTGAGGCCGAGGGGTATATATATGTTCTCAAAATAAAGCCCCAAAACTAAAAAAACCAGATAAAATCCCCCAAAAATCGGATTCTGGAAAACTAACCGTTAGCTGCAAAAAATCCCCGATCAGTCGACTAAACAGTAAAATCGATCGACTAATAAGATGATCGTTGAAGATTTGTGAGAGAGTTATGGCAGAAGAAAACAAATCGAAGATTGAGAAGTTTGATAGCTCAGATTTCGCTCACTGGAAATCGCAGATGGAGGACTATCTGTACCAGAAGAATCTATACCATCCACTGATGGGAAAAGCTAAGGGAAAGAATGAGGAGACAGACGAGAACTGGGAAATATTGGATCAGAAGATTCTAGGGCAGATCCGATTGTCACTCACAAAGTCAGTCACCCATAACATATTGAAGGAGAAGACCACGGTGGGCTTATAGAAGTGCTAGCAAAGATGTACGAGCAATCGTCAGCCGCAAACAATGTGCATCTCATCAGGAAGCTCTTCAACCTCAAGATTGCAGAAGGATATTCCTTCACGTTGCATCTCAGTAAGTTCAACACGATTGTTGATCAACTTATTTTAGTCGACATCATGTTTGATGACGAAGTACATGCCCTACTGATACTATCGTAGTTGTCGGATAGTTGGGCAGGTTGCATAACCGTAATTAGTAACTCGGTAGGGAAGGAGAAGTTGAAGCTGAGTGAGTTGTTAGTATGATTCTATCCGAGGAGGTTAGAAGAAAATCGGCTGAATCAAAAGGTTCAGCTTCAGCCCTAAATTTCGAGCAGAGAGGCCGAAGTCAGAACAAGGGAAATCAGAACAGGAAGCAGTTGAAGTCAAAGAAGAAAATGTCGAACTCGAAAGTTAGGCTTATCAAAGAAAAGTGTTGGAGCTGCAGCTAGGAGGGTCATATATCTTCAGTCTGTAAAGCATCAAAGAATGAAACAAACGAGCAAGAGGCTCATATTGTGCAAGATACCTTGATCCTTGCTATGGACAACGATTCTGATTCATGGGTTATTGATTTGGGAGCCTCATTCCACGCTACTGTTAATAGGAAGCTTCTTCAAAACAATGTAGCAGAGGAATATACTTGGGGACAACGAGCCTTGCAGTATTGTTGGAAGAGGTGACGTGCAGATACAGATGAAGGGCTCTAAGTGGTGTCTGAATAGAGGCTTTTCCTGCGTGTCGATTTGTTCTCAGGTTTCGGTCTACGCACACCCCAAAACCAACACAACCTCTTCCAAACTCCTTTAACCTCCAATTATGAACACCTCCACTACCTCCTCCGACCTTCAACAGAACCTCATCGATTGCCACTTAAATGAAGAAAGAAATCCGCCTAGACACCACTCCGACACTTAAGGTTTCTATAACATTGATATTTACTATCAGTTATTGTAATAAAAAAATAAAAAAATAAAACCTCCTAGGTTTTAGGCATTGGGTCCCTAGGCTTCCTAATACTTTTTATAACATTGTTGGATATTATTTTGGCTATTTAGTTTCTAACTATGCATGGTTTATTGTGGATCTAAGATTAATGTCTTTTTTTTTGTAAATTTATATGAATTTAATACATAGTTTTATTAATTATTATAATTAAATAATTTAAAAAATAGCCAAACGTCTAGATGCCGTCTAGGCGTCTAGGCGGTAGGCGGTGGCTCAAACGCCTAGTCCGCCTAGCGCCTTCTATAACACTGAACTGAGATATTTCCTTGTCGTCCACACCTCAGACCGATCGACATGAGATAATGTTTAAAAGGTGTGTGAACCTACTCGATATATACATTGTTGTCATAACCAAAGGGGACACTGAGCCAGAAATTACCCATAGAAAGGAAACATCTGCTAGTTATGTTCGTAATTGGTATATATCAATATGGTAGCATATGCAAAATTTCATGGAAAAGTTCCTAGTGGGTGTACCAAATGTAGTTTCTTATTCATAGGGAAAACTTTGAACCTAATAATAACATTTTATCACAGATTATCGGCCGTTAGGGTCCATTTAGCAGACATTTTTTTAGCTGCTCACCTGAATCCAAGTAAGTTCCAAGATCCGTTGTCTGATAGCTCCAAACGAACCATGGATCCGAGAATCTCAAGAAGAATCGTGCAAAATCCTCATTCAATCCTCAGCTCCGAATCGATCAAAAACATTTAAAAATCCAAACATGTTTTGGGTAGAAAATGGTTCCTGACCGGAAAAGGGGGCATTTTGGAAAGAAATTAAAAGCTGCGGATCAAGGATTAAGAGGACCAAACCCTAGAGAGAGAGAGAGAGAGAGAGAGAGAGAGATTGAAACAGAGGAGGGAATTGGGACGACGAGGAAGAAGAAAAATGGTAATTTTTGAATTTACAAATTCCGCGGGTTCTCGAAATTGGGTTTTGAAAATTAATAAGAGTTTTTTGCATATACACCCCCAAACATCTACTATATTTGCAATTTATTTCCCAGATCTAGATGTTTGCCAATTTACCCTCCAAATATTACCAATATATCCTTGATAAAGTTAAATAAGTTTAAAACTTATTTAACTTAATCAAGAACACAGTTAGTGCTACTGGAACTGGAAAATGGGAGCGATTTGGGTGGTAAATTATCAAATAATCTATCTTTAGGGAGAATTTGCAAATTCGGTAGATGTTTGGGGTATATATGCAATGAACTCAATTTACGCCCGAGCCGAACCAAACCCGATAAAAAATGGGCGGACTGTATACATATCGGGTACGGATCAACCCGAAACCCGAAAGCAAATCCTAAACCCTAGAATCAAATCAGACGGAAAGAAATTGCTGAGCCTCCATTTTTTCCTCTCTCTCGTTCCTAAAATCTAGAGCTTGTTAGGGGACACAGGTAAGCTTGCTCTCAAAACCCTAATCTTTGATCTTCTGAAAAGTTAGGGTTAGGGTTTATGTTTGCGATCAGTGCCAATGTTTGCTTGCTCTGTTTATTTGCAGTTGAGCTTGCTGCTGTTTGAATTTGGAGATGGCTCCTCCTGTTAAGGGTATGAGTTCTCTGAAATTTCTGATTTTTTGCAAATTGAACCTATAAAATTTAGAAAAAACATGGTTAAATTTGTTTGAATAAAAGCCGCTTCTTGTGATGCTTGTTTGCTTGAATGGGTTATCATGCTGCCCATCCATTATTGTTATTGGTTCGCATTACTGCTTGCAATTTTTGACACTATATTAACTTTTTTTTGGTTAAAATGTGCCAGTTCTTCAATTCCTATGGAGGCCAGTGTTTGAATTTGGAACTTAGAAATATTTCGATATTAGATTATATGATAATGCATGTGTCTACAAGTAGATGGTTGATGCTCCGAGAAGAACTATTTATATGTGAAATTAGGCATGTATGTTCAAAATTCATAGTTTAATGGAAGTAGAAATAAAGGAATAACTGATTTTAGTTAGCTGGCTGCTGGTCTTTAACAGACTGTTAAGTGGGTGACAATGGTATTGTTATGATATGGATGATTGATTTGTATTGGTTGATACCTTATTTAAGTTTTAGATATTTCTGATTATTTCATTCTTTCTGTTACGTGTGTTATCTGATCATGACTTATACTATCCTAACATTGAAAATAGTTAGAGTAAGCTCCTTATCAATGGTGGTGATGAATTTTGCGATGGCAGCATGACTTTCCCTTTATTATGGGTAGTATTAGTATATCTTATTATCACATGCAAGGCACGGATCCAAAATTCAAATACTGCTTGCATAGCCTCACTGACCATCAAATTATATTCTATCTCAAGAGGATTGGCTCGCTATCGCCTGCAACACTTTGGGTATCTTAAAATACAGTATTTCACTTTTACTTTGCGTTAAGTTGTTAGCCAAAAGTAGCATCTTAAAATACAATATTTCACTTTTACTTTGTGTTAAGTTGAAGAATTTTGATTTTCTCCAATATTTCATTAGCTGAATGACATAAAAATAATATCAACGGAGCACTGGAGCACAGTTCTGTCAGCTTATTACTTGTCAACTTCTAAAGACATCAAATAAGTTGACAATTGTAGGAATTATACAAGGCCATGAATTTCTTCATCGGTGAAATCTCATAAAAAAATGTTCCCATGTCATGGCATTTGAATTGGTGAAATCTCATAAAAAGTATACCCATGACATGACATTTGAATGAGAAACATGAGAAATATGTTTTGGTCTCAAACAAAGGCGGCTAAGACCTTGGACCTGACGGCCTAGGTCTCATAGATAGGGTGGCAATGAACCAAATAGTTAACAAATAGTTTGTTTATTATCCGTCTAAGTATTCGGTTAAATTCGACTCAATAGTTCATTTAACAATAATCGAATAGTTTTTATTATTCGGTTCATAAACGAATAGAATTTAACCAACTGCATATTCAATTTAATTGATTTTTAAATATTTGTCTATGTTTTCCTACTTTTTTATTATTACATTATATTATCTTTTATGTTTGTATGATATTATANTTATATTGTTAAATATGACAATAAATAAGGTCGGTAGAATTATAAAAATGTCATGTGCTAATCATATGGTAATATTCCTAGGAATATTCCCACGTGCAACTCACAGAAGAATGCTAACGTGCTATTTTTTATAACTTAAGGTATTAAAGTTCCTTTTTTTTACAACTTAGGCTATTAAAATGTAAATGTGGTGAAACAATAGGGTATTTAAGTTCCATTTGGCCATTCCTCAATGGCCATGAGTTTGTTATCGGAAAGAAATGAAGGGAAAAAAAAACCTTCTCCTTCATTCTATGAGGACTGGATTGTGGTGTGAGATTTGCAATCTGATGTTGGTATCAGAATGCAATGGATGTTTGAAATATAGATGCTAGTTAATCAGTGTTGTAGGTTTTCCTTTTGAGTTCTCCTTGCTCGTGTTTTTGTCATATGATGTAGCATGTGTTACCCCAAACATTAAGGAAATTTAATGTAAGCCCCCAGTCAACGTTGGTTATAAATACCCCTCTTCTTTGGGCCAGCATATTAGCCTTTCTTATGGCTGCTTTTGTTTTGTGTTTAAAAAAAAAAATTTGTCATATGCAATCACATAACCTTGTTGAACGATGGGATGATTCTTTATCTCAAGAGTGTTGCCTCTGTATTGTGTGCAACCTTTTGTTTCCTTTCACTGTATGTGAAGATGGTAGCTCAAAAAATACTATCCTGAACTCATTATTTTGTTTAATTTCAGACATATTTTTGACTAAATTCTCTTGTTCCCACACTTGACTCCGCTTCTGAATCTTTCTGGTTTGTAGGATTTTAGAAAATTGACTACATCAAAAGAATGCTCACACTTTGTTAGGCACTTATGATATGGCTTTGACATTTTTGTAAGTGTTTATTTTGATGCAGCTACTACCAAAAAGGCTGATGCCAAAGCACAAGCTGTCAAGGTTGCCAAGGCTGTGAAGTCTGGAGCTTCAAGCATCAAGAAGAAAACAAAGAAGATCCGCACCTCTGTTACATTTCATCGACCCAAGACCTTGAAGAAGGATAGGAACCCAAAATACCCTAGAATTAGTGCCACTCCAAGGAACAAACTTGATCATTACCAAATTCTCAAGTACCCTTTGACAACCGAGTCTGCTATGAAAAAGATTGAGGATAACAATACCCTTGTCTTCATTGTTGATATCCGAGCAGACAAGAAGAAGATCAAAGCTGCGGTGAAGAAGATGTATGATATCCAGACTAAGAAAGTGAACACCCTCATCAGGTTAGTAGTTCATTTTTATTGTTTCGCTAAACTCTATATATACTTTTATTACGTTAGACCCCGAGATCTTTGTTAATTCTATATTAGGCCCCTAGATCTCAATATTTCTAGATTAGACATCTAAATCCAGAAGTTGTTTTAAATAAGACCACAAAATTTATTAAGTTGTTTAAATTAAGAACCTCATATGTATTAAGTTGTTCTATATGTAACCATCATTTCGAACAAATATGAAGATTCGGGGAATACAAAGGTTTGGGGTCTAATCATGTAGAATTAACAAAGATTTGGTGGTCTAATATGATTTAAAAAGCGCAAATTTGGATTGAGATTTAGTTTGCAATAGTTTATGCTGATCTTTTGAAATTCATCTTTTTTTCATGACAGGCCTGATGGTACTAAGAAGGCGTATGTGAGGCTCACTCCGGATTACGATGCTCTTGATGTTGCCAACAAGATTGGCATCATATAATTGGAAGAGGGTTTCTAGTTGAGTTTGTTCTCAAATTTACATTTTGTAGTGGTGTTAAAGTTACTGAGGTTGACACTGTTTCATTTTTAAGCTTAAATGCATTTAGTTTCGGTTAATTTGAACTACCTGGACTTGGGCAATACATGTCTTTGTTGGATTGAATCTGTTTCATATTGCTGTATTGTTGATTGCGTTGGTGGCCCTGTTGCTACTGAAGTTTGATATGTATTTTTCTCTGCATTTAACCCTTAATTATGTTTTAATATTTTTTGCATTTATTCCTTTTATTCTGCGAAATTTATGCTTATAATTAGTCTTTTAGTTTTCATGTCTTGGTAAGGTAAGCGTGAGACTTGTTTACGTTACTATTCACTCCTATTCCTGCTTCATTGTGTAAGGGTAGGTTTTTATAGTTACAGTTGTAATCAAATTGATAATTTATAATCGCAAGTTTGTCATTTGTTGTGAATGCTTAGATTAACTATAATTCAGTATTATAGGTGCAAGTTACCAAATAGAAAGTAAAAACGAACAAATTTTCCAAACAAATTTTCTCTTTGGAAAGCAAGGAAGACATGTAGTGCTTAGATATTATATCTAAAATGCAGGAAATTGTTTGCTCCCTCTCGATAGAATTTACTTTTTTTCTTCTTTGTACAAACTAAATTTGATAATTAGAAACATTTTCATTCAAATACCCGTTGTTTTTCTTCAATATGAATTTTGATTTTCTCCAATATTTCATTAGCTCAATATGACGTATAAATTGAGCACAAATCTATGAGGTGAGATCAAATAAGTTGACAATTGTAGGGAATATATAGGACAAGGAATTCATGCCTATTACTTGGCAAACTTCTAAAGACATCAAATAAGTTGACAATTGTAGGGATTATATAAGGCAATGGGTTCTTTTATCCGTGAAATCGCATTTTAAAAAAAATGTTCCCATGTCATGACATTTGAATTGGTGAAATCTCATAACAAGCAAACCATGACATGACATGACATTTGAATGAGAAGCGGGAGAAATATGTTCCGGTCTTAAACGAAGTCGGCTAAGACCTTGAGCCAGTCGGCCCATAAGCACAGTTACTATGTGATAGAGCTTCCTTGGGCCCAGGCCCAAGCCAAATAACTAATTAAGAATAGAAGTGACAATTAGAGGAATAATTTCAAACAACTTATAATATTGGGGGAGTTGAGCAATTTCCATAATCTGAGGGACTGATTTCAAAATAATTTAAGATATTGGTTGTTGAAATATGTCAGGAATTGATGTGATATTCTTTTCCTTATGTTATTTAAGAGTAGACAGCCTATCAGAAGCTCTCGCATGGTGCATGAGGTTCTAGGTTCTTAGCCGCATCCTAAGACTAACAGGGGTAGTTTCTTCATGAGTGTTGCTACGGGGACCCAAAATATGGGACCAATGGAGGGGACAGGTGAGGTGTCCCCTTCCTATTACATAATGAGTTGGCTGTGCCAACTCATTATGCAATAGGGAGGGGACACCTCACATGTCCCCTCCATTGGTCCCATATTTTGGGTCCTTAAATCATTTTTCTTTCTTCATTTACTGCCCCCTTGTGTGGCTATCAGAAACAGCATATAAAAGAAGGATATATTGTTTTACTTGGAGAAGAGTTATTATTGTTCCGCTTAACTTGGTTATGGACCTTATGGTTGCCAAACACTGTCAAAAGATTTGTTAGCTTGATGACAACTGTGCCATCAAAGGCGCCTGTGACAAAGCCACACTGACTAAAGAGCAAAATATCCATTATGAAACTTTAATGTGGGACTAATTAAGGGTATGTTTGGTAAACTAATTAAACCGGTTTTAGTTGAAACAAATTTGGCTCAACAGTGTAGACCTAGTTTGATAAAATGAGAAGGTCGGACTAAACCAGTGTTTTGTTGGGCCTATCTCGTCTAATATGAAATAGAATTGGTTAGCGCTAGTCCTAATCATGTTTGGCAGCCAGAAAGTAAATTAATACTCTATTTTTCTTTTTTTTTTTGACACTTGGAAAGTGAATGCTATCATTTTTAGCTCCTTTCACTTTCTCCTAAAATTGAAAAAAGTGGATAGAAAGTAAAAAGAGAGGAGAGAGAAAAAAATATGAAGATTCTTTATAGTTATCTCAATTTTAGGCTTTTTTTTGTTGCCACATACACGAATACACATGAACAGAAACTTGTTTAGGTAGGAGCATACATCTCAATTATTTTTTTAGAGGATTATTTATAAATTTTGGATTTTCTAGGGATCGTATATAGTTTTTTTAATTTTAAAGGGGAGGGTTTATAATTTTCTGAATTATATATATTGTTCATAATATTTGGATTATTCAAGGGTTTATTTATAATTTTGAATTTTTTTTCATCTTCATAGAGTAATTTGTAATTTATAGATGTTTCAAATATGTTTGTAATGTTTGAAACTTTCATGGCCTTTTTGTAAAATTTTTAGGGAGTTGCTTACAATATTTTATTTTAGCAACTTTTAGGTGGCTATTTGTAAACTTTTCAAAGGGCTTTTTGTAAAAATTTTAAGGAGGTATTTATAATTTTTGAAACTTTCAAGGTGCTAGTTGTAAAACTCTTAAGGGGTTTGTTTGTAAAATTTAGGGGGCTATTTGTAATTGTTAAAATTTTGAGAAGACTGTTTGTAATTTTCAAATTTTTTAGGTATTGTCTATAATTTTAGATTTTAAGATGCACAATTTATAATTTTTAAGTTTTGTATTGCTATTTGTAAGTTTTGTGTTTTTAGGGATTTATTTATAATTTTTGAATTGTAAACTTTTCTAATTTTTTAGGGGATTATTTGAATTTTTAGATTTTGTAGGAAGTTGTTTGTAACTTTTGGATCTCATAGATTTGTTTATAATTTTTAAACTTTCAGGAGGTTATTTGTAATTTTTAGATTTTGAAGATGACAGTTGTAATTTCGAAGAACCCTTCCCTATATAGAGGATGTCTTTGATTATTAAATTTTTTTCTAATTATGAATGATTTTAATTTTATGAGGATTGTTAGGTGAATATAGAATTAGGAAGGAGGAGTTTGGTTATTAGGAAGTTTTAGTTATGGATAGTTTTAATTTGATGAGAATTTTTAGATAGAAATAGGGTTACGTGTGTACATATTAGATTCTGATAGAATGTATGAACATGTGACAACTTTTTAACACATGTCATATTTTTATGCCTTTTAGGTGCAGTTTGCCAATGAGAGGTTTCATAATAATGACATATATATTTGTGTATACATTAAAGTTTAAACGAGATTTAAGCTTGTATCTCTCTGCACTCAAGATAATGCTCTTTAAGTCTCTTTTATTTCTCATATAACTTCGTACAGAAACTATATGAAGCAAGAATCATGGACAATCAATACTCTATTATGAAGCATGTAGACATATGCTAATATAAAAAAAAATATTATACTAGTGAATAGTATTATGCTTTACTATTTAGTCATGAGATAATGGTCATATAGAAATATCTTAGAGCAATGGGGACACGATAGAGGGACTGACTGCAAAATAATTGAAGACACTAATTGAATTATGTCAACAATTGATATATTAAACGAGATTTAATATAAAAAAACATTATACTAGTGAATAGTATTATGCTTTACTATTTAGTCATGAGATAATGATCATATAGAAATATCTTACAACAATGGGGACACACTAGAGGGACTGATTGCAAAATAATTGATTAAATTAATTAACAAAATTAATCAATATTGATATTGTTAGGAAAAAAATGACCATATCTTATATAGGCTTGAAAGGAATTCTATTATTAGCACAATCTTTTGTTTTGAAAGGAAATTCAAATGTAAGACATAAAAACCAACTTTTTTATGGTTACGATTCACAAATAAAAAATCAACAATCTGTAATATCTGCTAGAAAATGAAAACTAATTTGGTCGAACAAAAATAATAATACTAATTACTTTGTATCAAATTAATATACTTGATTCTTTTATAATGTGTTTAACATTACAATCAAGCTGAATGCATGAACTTTCATAAATTGTATTATTATATTTAATTTTGATTTAATTAAAAGGAAAAAAATGCCACCTACTCTCAAGACTTAATCAACAAGCCAAAATCTCCCAAAATCAACTCTTTTTTGCTTGAGTTCTAACCCTCAAACCTAATACCACCTAAGCAATACTTTTTCATTCCCCACTATACCCCTAATTAATGCCCATGTGGGTTTCTCTCTCTCTCTCTCCCTTCTCTCTCTCTCTCAACATCATCTTCCTCCTCTCTTTTCTTTTCTCTCTCCTCACTCCATACCATTACTAGCAAACTTTCATCCTCTCTTCTTTTTTCTCTCTCCCGCTCCATGGCTATTACCAACAAACTCTCACATCTATTCTTTTTTTTTTCACTCCTCCACCCTCTCCTCCGCATCTCTGACAAAATCAACTTATCGATTCTCTTCAATAGAGCGATAAGTCCTCAAAATCTTGTTCAAATCATAAGTACACAATTTCGTCAAGTTAATACCACACATCTGACAAAATCTACTTATCGACTCTCTTCAATAGAGCGATAAGTCCCCTAAAAATCATCAAGTTAATACTATACCTCTGATGACAAAATCAACTTATCAATCCTCCCTAATAGGATGATAGGTCCACAAATAACTGTTATGTTAATACCACACCTCTAACAGTTAAACCCCCATGAACTTGTTGATTCTTTTCAACAGAGTGACAAGTGTTCATTGTCAAAACACGGAAGTCCATCACCGCGCTCCAATTTTAAAGCGTGGAGGTCCATCCCCGCGCTCTAATTTCAAAACGCAAGGGTCATCCCTACGTTTCAAATTCAAAACGCGAGGGTCATTCCTACGTTCCAAACTCCAAACGCGAGGGTCATCCCCGCGTTCTAAACTCCAAACGCGAGGCTCATCTCCACGTTTCAAATTCAAAACACGAGGCTCACACTCACGTTTCAGGAGCCAAACTCGAGGCTCACACCCGCGTTTCAGAAGCCAAATGTGAGGCTCACCTCCGCATTTCAAATCAACAAAATGCGAGGATCCACCCCCGCATTTCTGAAGCAGAAGCATAGTATTCACCCACACACGGGTCTGACGTGGCAAATTCCTTCAACCAAGTTCCCGAGGCCTTCAAAGCAGATGTAGGGAATAATGAGGAATCAACAGCTCCAAGATCAAAATCGAGATCTAAAGTATTTCAAAAATTCGTTCCATGCAATCGCGAACTTTTGAAAACTTTAGAGGGAGTTCTGTAGGATGTATAAAAATTACTATAGATAGTTGATCCCCACAAAGCACAAACGATGGAGGTTATAATCTGACAATCTTCACAACGATAGATGAAAGTTACAATTTGACAACTTCGCAATATACGAGAGTTACAAGTTGACAACTCTCATATTTCAAAGAGCCAAATGCAAGGATTACAAGACGACGATCTTTGCAGAACTTGAGAAAATAGGTTACAATTGACGATCTTTTCAAGCCCAAACACGGAGCTCATCGTTGCGTTCTATATTCAAGACGCAGAGTTCACCTCTGCATTCCAAGAACAAAACGTGAAGCTCATAGCTGCGTTCCAAACTCAAGACGCGGAGTTCACATCTGCGTTCCAAGAATAGAACGCAAGGTTCACCACTGCATTTTAGACCTAAATGCAGAGCCCAACTCCACGTCTGAAGTTCAAGATGCGGAGTCCATTCCCAGAATGCGAACTTCGCGTTTGACTCATTCAAACACGAGTTGAACGGTTCCAAACTATTTTGCATGATCTGAGGGGATCACAACCCCACTAAGAAGTGATTTTAGGGGTTAGTTATACCCCTAAAACCCCTACAAATAGCTGAAAAAATCAACTAAAAATGGATCTTTGGATCATCTGGAGATCGGTAAAAGATCTTGGCAAAGAGGGACATTTTGAGTCTTGATCTTCTTAGCTTTTGTGGAGGTTTTTTGTGAAGACTTTTCTTGGAGCTTTTGGCCTTGGCTTGTGAATCATTTCGGTTAAATTTAAAAGGATTAATTTCGTTTCCAAAATCAACTCTTTTACAGAGTTTTAAACTCGTTTAGAGTTCAAAACTTGCATCGTAAGTCCTCTTAAACTCGTTCAGAGTTCTACCAAGTTCCACGAAGCGAGGTATTCGGATCGTCACGAGATACAAGATTCAAGCTCTCATCGACACCAAGAAGAACCCAGGTTTAAATAAAGGGGAGGGTCTCTGTTGATCACTTTTCTCTTTTGTAAATCGGGAAACCGATATAGAAGAGTTGTACTTTCTTTTTCTAAATCAGTTAGAGAGAGATTACAAAGAGAGATTGTATTCATTCTTTTTCTAAGACAGTTAGAGAGATAAATACAAATTTTATTCTCATTTCTTCATCAATTTTCCCACAAACAGTGGTGGATGTATGATGTTGCCGTAAGAGGAGGGACGAGAGGGAAGATAGGGTGTGGAGGTATGATGGTGGGCTCGAAAGTGATTAAGAGGGAGAAGAACATAAATTGTGAGGAGAAGAAGTTTAAGGGTGGTGAGGAGGTGATGGACCTAGACGGAGGAGATGAGGGAGGCAGCAAGGTTGTGACGCCATTATTTTCACACATGGCTGCAGTCCAAGGTGAACCCAGAGATGTCAAACCTGTCATACACCCACACTGTGCAACAACAAGTTTCACCAATCACAGTAATATCCTCTAGTGGGATCAAATAAAAGCGTAGGTACAAAACAGGCAAAGAAGTAGAACAATAATAATAGACATGATAAAGATAATGACATCTCATAAATAAAGGTCATGTCTCAACTGAAAATAAACTGAAATACATATGGAGTCTGAAATAACATACGATGTCTCAACATGAATCAAAACGGAAAGTCGAACTAAGGCACATTACCTTTACAAAATGAAACTAAACTCTAAGTCTGAATAAAATTTAAAACTACAGTGAAGCCTCTAATAAATCTCTCGGGACGGCGACTATACAAGAACTTCGTCATCCTGCGGCTCTCCGGAACTCTGAACTACCTGAAAGGGCATTTTTAAAAGAAAAAAAATAACAACAAGAGCGTCAGAGCGCTACAGCAAGATTACCCTCATCCGCCCCCAGGGGAAGGGCTGCTAGGATGGAGTGGAGGCTCTATCTATTAAGCATAGTCTACCTATATCATTTTTCCCGTATCTAAGTGGGATTAACATTTAAAAACCTACAACACGAGACGTAGTACGTCGAGCAAAATAATCCAAACAAGGAAACCCTCATGTATATATCATAAGTCTCAAATTTTAGATATCTAAACATTAATATCGAACTAAAAAAAGATAATCTAATAAAACCAATAATTAGAAATCCATAACACGAGACTGATACGTCGAGCGAAATAATCTAAACAAGGAAACCCTCATGTATATACCATAAGTCTCAAGTTGTGAATCTCTAATCATTGATCCTAACTAAGAAGTAAAAAGGATAGTAAAAGAAATAAGATATCAACACATCGTATTTATAATATCTTCCACTATCACTGGAGAGATAGAATAAAATACTAACACATAATTTTGTATACTTTCAAAAGTAACATATCTCAGCCATATAGTTCAATGATAGGTCGTATTCATAATTGGCATCTACCATACTTAGGCTATCAAGTAATTATCTCAGTGCAACGGACTACCCTGTAGGTATACTGAACTGTGTACATGGCTCATTAGTCTCATCGCGATCTTAGTGCATAACATGAGTACGGGACGGACTACCAAATAGGCATCCTTGAAATATGGCTCAAGAGCCTTATCGCACCCTAGTGCGGGACGGACGGCTAGATCAAGCCTCCTAAAATCCGACTCAATGGTCTGTACATGTGGAATATCGATGTACTACCTCATATAGTACTGAACTGAGCTCATCAACGATATCCACCTCATATAAATCTTTGTATCTCAGGTATGTCGACGCACTATCCTATATAATACTGAGCTATGCTCATCAATAACAGTTACCTCATGTATAAACCATGTATATCTGGTGTGTCGACGTACTATCCCATATAGTACTAAGCTGCATGTATATGAACTATATCTAATTCAAATATGATCAAATCAAAATTCATCATAATCCCATTGGGATTCTTAAATGTATAACATAATATATTTATGACTAAACGTATAACATCAAGCGGCTCAAAACTCCGCGAACGCACCTCAAAACGGCACAACACAGCTCCACAAAACGAGCAGAAAAACAAACGTGATATCTGTTAGTAAAACAAGCATATCTTTCTCTAGGAAAACTATTTTTACAAATGGTTTTCTGTTTTGAAAACTAGATTCACACATATTTCAAATGACATAAGTTTAGTTTAATTTGGAGTTTATTTATTATCCCAAATCTCCAGTTAAACATTATATATGTGCATCCATTTTTCTGCAGGACATGTTGTTAGTAAATATAACATATCTTTCTCTATACAATCTCTTTTTAAGATTAGTCTTCTGTTTTAGAAACTAGATACATATATATTTCATTTGGCACTAGTTTGGTTAAATTTGGAGTTTATTTTCTATTTCAAAATCTCAGTTAAATATGATACAATTGCTGCAGTTTTCTACAGAAAATATTTATTTAGTACATCTCTTAAATTTCTCATATATAAATGAAATTATGAAAACTCCTAATAATCATGATCATGATACTATCATAAACAACAAAAAAATACTAATCTAGCATTGGTTTATGTTTTAACATCAAAAATTTAACTTTTATCACATCATGTTAAGATTCAAGCATGAAAACACATATTCAACATCATATTAAACATCTAACTAGTTATTTAACTATGGGGAAGGGTTTGGATAAAGATAATCTTGCCTTAGACATCGTTCTAAACCTCTAAAAAAACCAGCAACCAAAAAAAAGTACAACCAAGCCGTTTTTCCCTTGTTACACATTAATGATCTCGCCCTCGTGTCGATATTTGCTTCACAAAGCTCTCAAAATTCTTAACTTTAGGGTTATGGATTCAGAGGGAGGAAGAGAGCCTGCTAGGGTTTGAAACTCTGATATAAAGATGTTAATTTTCATGAAAACACATGTTTATATATATGCAAACCCGAAATAAACCCGTTTGACCCGAACCAGGAATCCTAATCTAACATGAAAAATGACCTTCGGTATTTTGGCCATAACTTTCACGTCCAACCTCAGAATGAGGTGATCTAAGACTTGTTGGAAAGTTCTTGAAGATACCTATAACTTTTGTCTTTTAAGTGTTTCCAAATTACAACTACATATGTGATAAAAAAATACAAAATCTCTTTGCTGATCATAAATTTCCAGATTTATACATCGAGCATGAATTGTGCATTTGCTCTTATATATATACATATATACATTGAATTGATCTCAAACCAATTCCTAGCATACTCAAACATCATAATATGTTATTTATAAATATATAACATATTTATTATTATTTATCACAAAATATTCAAATTTTTAGAGTTTTACAAAGGTAGTGGGGGGTATATGGGAGAGGGCATAGGGGATGAGGATACAGAGATATGAATTTAGACAGATGGGAGGGGAGAAAGGAAAAAAGGAAGAGAGATGAGAGCTTATTAGTAATGGTTGTGGAGTGGAGAGAGAGAAAAAAAGAAGAGGGAAGGAAGATGATGATGAGACAGGAGGGAGAGAGCTGCCCACATGAATATTAATTAGAGGTATAGTGGGGAATAACAACTTATTGCTTAGATAGCACTAGGGTTGGGGGTTAGAAGTAAAAAAAGTTGATCTTGAGAGATTTTAGCTCGTTGAGAAAGTCTTGGGGATGACGGAAATTTACTTTTTGATTTTGGAGGGTAGAAGCATTTTCCCTAAAAATTTGGGAGGGGGTGTGGGGGGGGGGGGAAAGAAGATGATGAAATAAAAAAAAACATGTCGCTATGTAACACGCGTGTTTTTTTTTTCTGCCTCGTGAATTTTGTAATTTTACTTGTCCATCCCTTGGCGTGTACTATTAGCAAGAAATAGAAGTAAAAGGGTTTCGAAAAAAAAAAAAGTTTATCAAACTACTCAATCAACAAAATCACCAACTCTAAAATAGTCATCGTTCGCATCAATTGCATGTTGTATGTTTTTCCGCAAAGGTAATTTTCACGAAACCTCCTTAAGCGGTCGTTTCTGGGATATAACCCCCATAACTTTCTAAATGTCACAAAGACCTCTAAAGTTTGCCAGAAACCCCCAATCTAATGCTATCGGGGGGTTTTCTAAGAACGCCAAAGTTTAAGGGGGTTTTGTGGCATTCTAAAAGCTAAGGAGGGTTACCAGATAAAATACCCAAACTTGGGAGGGGTTTTGTGAAATATACCCTTCATTCCTTCCCGTTGCCGTGCTTCCGGGTGACAAGAGACCGCACCACTGAACCTAAAACGGCCGAGCCACCTGTCCCCTCCCCTTCGTTGACGCGGGCCAGCATGTGGGGCCCGCTCACGTACCAGCTGCTAAGAAAAAAAAGCACCTGCTAATGTTCCAGAACCATCACTGCTAATGATGATCGTCCGCGCTGGGATCATAATGACACACACGTAGTGGGGCCCACACGTCAGCGTCGCGTGCAGATAATAAGTACGTACTGTGCAAGGTAAAAGTTTCAGAAAAACCCTCAAGTTTAGGGTGATTTACACAGACGAATCATGATTTTTAAAAGCTCTAAGAAACACCTAAATTTTGGGGGGTTTCGTGTAATCCTCTAAACTTACGAAAGATTTCGTCTACTAAGTATTGGTTTTATTGAAAAAGGAAAAAAAATGTTACAGATTTAGGAGGAACTCGTCTATAAAAACTAGTGTTACAGGGAGAAATCCCAAAATTCCTTATAAACTCATGTCAAGTTCGGAAGTTCGCCGCATGTAACTAATGACTACTTGACCTAATAAATCATCAAAATTTTAGCTCCCGGTCCCCGTGCAGGTTGGATGTTCACTAGTTTAGTTATGGTCAAACATTGTAATCCTTATATATTTTGCACTAATATAGTCCTGGGCGAGTACTACAATACTATAGTCTGCATTAGCACATCTCAGTTACATCCCATTTGAAAAAATCAGGCTAGCTCTAATACCACGTATTAGGGACTAGAAAGAACTCATCATAAAAAACCTAGTTATCAAATAAAAAACCCATACTCCTCATGAACCAAAACAATGTTCCACACATAACTAATGAGAGACTAATAGACTTATTAGATAATCTCATTTCTCCGCAGAATCGTTAAACAAAAGCAGCTTGCGTAACTTTTTTCTTGTCTCCTGTATTTAGTTATTTTAGAAAAACCGTAGAATGAAGGTTGAATGAAAAATTCTCAAAGTCAACTGAAATCCTTAAAATTCACTAAAGCCTTATGGTACGTCTCAAGTTTAGGGGTCCTTTTCTCTAGTTTTTAAATTTTATGGTCATTTATGCAAATCACTCGAAAGAACGGTGCTTTTGTGAAATTTAGCAAACTAGGAGTTTTTCAGAAACAAAAGCCGCGGGCATTTCCCAAAAGCGGCCTCTTTCTCAAGAACCGTTTGAAGAGGAAGCCCTTTTTTTCCTTCATCAAAATCCTCGATTTCCATTTTTATCGAGATCGAGCAAAAGCGAGAGTGAGCTCAAAACGGAAAGAAATCCAGAGCCCAGATCGAGACAAAGAAAGAAGAAAGGGGCTTCTCTCTCGTCTCTCCCCGTCGAGAACCCGTCCCTTTCGGCGATCGGTACGTTCTCCTCTCAGATCTCTTCAGATCTGATCTCGATTTCGTTGTTTTTTTACAATTTGATGCGATTTTGTGTTATTTTAGGCAATGACGGAATCGGCGTGGAGGATCCGCGATGCCGGCGTGATCAGAGCAGGGGACCGAACGCCGCATCACCGGCGGCGGAGGCGGTGGCGGCGAAGAAGAAGAAGAAAGGAGTGCTGACAAGGATCTGGAGAGGGGTTTTCGGATCGAGGAAAGAGGATTACGAGAAGAAGCTGCAGCACTTGTCGAAGGAGGAGGCGGCAGTTCATGCTAGGATGAAGGGGAGGGCGATTAGAACGAGGAAGTTTGCGAGGAACGTCATTTGGCTCTCAGGAATCGCCGAGGTGAGTCGATCTCTGATCTTTTATTGTTGCATTCTAATTTTTGTTGGCGCTTATGGTTAAATCTGAAATAATACAGATATAAAACAGCAAAAACTAAAAAAAAAGTTAAAGTGTAATATTTTAAAATTTTCCAACTCAACTGCTATGCGTTTGTAAAACGCTGTGCTTAAAACAATATTTGGCCTACTCCGGTGTAAGGATCTCAAGGCCAAATTGCTTCTAGGAACAACAGTACAGTCCTCTGGTGTGTACCGACCCAGTACTGTCAAGATCTTCTCGATATATAGGACCTCCGATCAAGGCAACAATCTTCTCGATCTATAAGACCTTCTCAGTCTAGGCAATGTTCCTACGAGCACTAGTTATTTTACAACATATATATATAGGTATATATTGATTGTTATTTTTTTGGAATGAATTTTTCTTAAGAGTTTAGGGTCTATTTATAACGTTTTTTATCTTTAAATTCAGTTTGTCTACTCGGTTTATCTCGAAACAACATCGTATCTTCCATCTCGAGATGATTGAATTCATGTGTATGCCCGATGTCTAACCGTAAAAACGAAAGACAAGGGGTAAGAAAGAGGCCCCCGAGTGATAGGTTCGGAACGAGCATTTTATATATTATATATCATATGCATATGCCCCAAATTCGTATTAACAACTACTCTAGGAGGAATGTTTTTATGTGGTGCTAACGATTTAATAACTATCTTTGTAGCTCCAGAATGTTTCAGTTTATGTTCCTACCTATTATCTGGATATGCCAAGAGAGATGTACGGCCTAATGAGGCTACTACGAAATAGTTACTCATGGCTGGGGCAAGTTCTTTTATAAATAATATTATTTTACTATACATGTGGGGCTCACGTCCTAATTTTCTTGTGATAGGGCCCACCACTTTTTTCATTTTCAACAAAAAATTGACACCTCCCCATTAATTTAGCCGCCCATGTTTCATTGAGAAAATCAAGTGCGGGACCCGCTTTTAAAACAAAAATATCTAACAATCCCCTATAATTTTTTTAAACTAGTGTCGTGTAACGGTGCTGTTATTTCAATCGTTTTGTATAAGGTAGATATCGCAAGAACTTGAATCCCCTTTAGACCAACTGAATAATAAATAGGTGCATGGTTTCACAGAGACTTGAACCAGCACATGTCTAAAAATCCAGCGATCATACAAGATCAAACTTATCTGTGGTAGTTTTCACTTTGAACCACACTTGTCTTTGTCTTTGCCTTTGCCTTTGCTTTTACATTTATGGTCCTTTGCATGTCCTGGTTTCTACTAGGGTTTTAGGTATCTTTCCATAAGACACCATAAGAGACGACCAAATCTTCACCCATGCATAGGTGAGTTTTTTAGGCATGTTTCCTATCAAACATCCCGCATCCGAAATGCTTTGAACTCATTAAGGTTTAAGAGTCATCCTTTCTCATGATAGGATTTAAGGTAAAAAGATTAAAGTTTTACCCGGTTAGTTCAGTCATGTAAGGATAGTACTAGAGGAAGATTAAAGATCAATTAAGTAACTCGTTCCTTGCGAAACGCGTTACGCAACTGATACGAGTTGTCGTGCGAGCACCTTTGATCGCGGAATTATCAAATGTAGGTTGAGAAGAGGATGATAGAAACACAAGCACAATTCAGTATATGACGAAGAAAAATACCTTCTCTAGATTATGAAGAACAAAAAATTACAATCTCTCCCTCACAATCTCACTAGAATCGAGAACAACCTCTTAATCCTCTCTAAACCCTAATACAATGATTAGAATCTCTCTCTGATCTAAGATCTCATAGATCATCACAACCTAAACCCTAATCCTTTTGATCAGGATCTCTCTTAGACCTAAAACTCTTTAGGACTACATCTGGTCTCTCCCCCTCCTATTTAGAATCCTAAACAGTCCTTATGTATAGGGTTTACAACGTGGTGGCAATCTGATAAATAACCAAAATCAAACCAAACTAAAATTCCTTCATAACAGAAACCAAGTCTGCCCAGGAAACCTCGATGAGTCGACTCATGACTGCATATGAGTCGACTCATGACTGCATATGAGTCGACTCATGACTGCATATGAGTCGACTCATGACTGATGAGTCGACTCATAAACTGATGAGTCGACCGAACAGAAGCTTTTGACAAAACGGCTGGGTTTCGTGAGTCGATTCATGACAGGCATGAGTCGACTCAACCTGATGAGTCGACTCATGTACATGTATGAGTCGACTCACGAGCTGAAATCTGGATTCCTCGAATCTGTTGCTTGTCGTCTCGTTCCACGCTTTCACCTGTGCTCCGCTGTGTCGCTTCACCCCACTATTCTCAAAATATCATGAGAATCACCTATCCTTAAGCTCCCATGAGGATCGTTTTTCCGAAGAGAAGATACACCCGTATCATGGGTCCCCCTTTAGAAACTTGAACTCCCATTCAAGTTAGAACTTCAGCTGAGAAAACTCTCGAGACCCTCCATCTTTGTTGACTTCAGTCATCTTCTTCTTCCTTAATCTCTGAACTCCTTCCAAAGAAAATGATCTCGCCAAGCTTCTTGTACTGTGATCAAGTCAGGACCATACACATGATGCTCCTTTACCGGATCTGATTGCTCTGATACCAATTTGATACGAGTTGCCGTGCGAGCACATTTGATCGTAGAATTATCAAAGGTGGGTTGAGAAGAGGATGACAGAAACACAAGCACAATTCATTATATGGCGAAGGAAAATACCTTCTCTAGATTATGAAAACACAAGCACAATTCATTATATGGCGAAGGAAAATACCTTCTCTAGATTATGAAGAACAAAAGATTATAATCTCTCCCTCACAATCTTACCTTCTCTAGATTATGAAGAACAAAAGATTATAATCTCTCCCTCACAATCTCACTAGAATCGAGAACCTCTCAATCCTCTCTAAACCCTAATATAATGATTAGAATCTCTCTTATCTAAGATCTCATAGATCATCACAGCCTAAACCCTAATCCTTTTGATCAGGATCTCTTTTAGACCTAAAACTCTTTAGGACTACATCTGGTCTCTCCCCCTCCTATTTAGAACCCTAAACAGTCCCTATATATAGGGTTTATAACGTGGTGGCAATCTGATAAATAACCAAAATCAAACCAAACTAGAATTCCTTCAAAACAGAAACCAAGTCTGCCCAGGAAATCTCGATGAGTCGACTCATGACTGCATATGAGTCGACTCATGACTGATGAGTCGACTCATAAACTGATAAGTCGACCGAGCAGAAGTTTTTAACAAAACGATTGGGTTTCGTGAGTCGACTCATGACAGGCATGCGTCGACTCAACCTGATGAGTCGATTCATGTACATGTATGAGTCGACTCACGAGCTGAAATCTGGATTCCTCGAATCTGTTGCTCGCCGTCTCGTTCCACGCTTCCACCTGTGCTCCGTCGTGTCGCTTCACCCCACTATTCTCAAGATATCATGAGAATCACCTATCCTCAAGCTCCCATGAGGATCGCTTTTCCGAAGAGAAGATACACCCGTATCATGGGTCCCCCCTTTAGAAACTTGAAGTCTCATTCAAGTTAGAACTTCAGCTGAGGAAACTCTCGAGCCCCTCCATCTTTGTTGACTTTAGTCATCTTCTTCTTCCTTAATCTCTGAACTCCTTCTAAAGAAAAGGATCTCGTCAAGCTTCTTATACTGTGATCGAGTCAGGACCATACACAGGATGCTTCTTTACCGGATCCGATTGCTCTGATACCAACTTGATACGAGTTGCCGTACGAGCACCTTTGATCGCGGAATTATCAAAGGTGGGTTAAGAAGAGGATGACAGAAACACAAGCACAATTCATTATATGGCGAAGGAAAATACCTTCTCTAGATTATGAAAACACAAGCACAATTCATTATATGGCGAAGGAAAATACCTTCTCTAGATTATGAAGAACAAAAGATTACAATCTCTCCCTCACAATCTCACTAGAATCGAGAACAACCTCTCAATCCTCTCTAAACCCTAATACAATGATTAGAATCTCTCTCTGATCTAAGATCTCATAGATCATCACAACCTAAACCCTAATCCTTTTGATCAGGGTCTCTATTAGACCTAAAACTCTGTAGGATTACATCTGGTCTCTCCCCCTCCTGTTTAGAACCCTAAACAGTCCCTATTTATAGGGTATACAACGTGATGGTAATCTGGTAAGTAACCAAAACCAAACCAAACTAGAATTCCTTCAAAACAGAAACCAAGTCTGCCCTGGAAACCTCGATGAGTCGACTCATGACTGCATATGAGTCGACTTATGACTGATGAGTTGACTCATAAACTGATGAGTCAACCGAGCAGAAGCTTTTGACAAAACGGCTGGGTTTCGTGAGTCGACTCATGACAGGCATGAGTCGACTCAACCTGATGAGTCGACTCATGTACATGTATGAGTCGACTCACGAGTTGAAATCTGGATTCCTCGAATCTGTTGCTCGCCGTCTCGTTCCACGCTTCCACCTGTGCTCCGCCGTGTCGCTTCACCCCACTATTCTCAAGATATCATAAGAATCACCTATCCTTAAGCTCCCATGAGGATCGCTTTTCCGAAGAGAAGATACACCCGTATCAGCAACCCCTAAATTTTGCATTAAACACCGACTAATCCAAGAAAATTTAAACCCCTCTTAGGATTTTACTTATAAATCTTACTTGACTTTTGAATCGTTTATCTTGTCATTAGTAGCATAAGCTTTGAACTAATAACTAGATGTAAATGGTAAGTATTTGTAAGACTCACCAAACTTTGTAAATCTCACTTGACTTTTGAACCAAATATCTTATCATCGGTAGCATAAGCTTTGAACTAGAAACTTGATATAAAATGGTAAGTATTTGTAATACTTACAAAACTTTGAGATCCATTCCAATAGACGTCCTTTCGACTATGTTCTTTTTCAGACCTTTAGTGAAAGGATCAACAACATTCTCTGAAGACCGGACGTCAATC